AAGTTAGGGCACGAGACCTAGGGCTCAAAGTGATCAGGGATCGGGTGTCACATACAGTGTTGATGAAAGAGTTTGTGTTGTCGGTGTCGTTATTCACCATCTCGTTATTCACCGGAGGGATAGGGCTTATCCAGCTATCGGATAAGCTTAGGATGGAGATGAGACATGCTTTTGTCACGCTCTTCCTCGGATGCTTGTTTTGTCTTCCTACCATCTTTGTGTGTCTTTCATACGTCCAAGATAGACAGGGATCGCCATGGTTCCTTTGTTTCAGTTGTCAGTCGACGCTTACTGTTGCTTTCCTTTCTAATATACACGGCCACAAGGTTAGAACTAAGTTACATGACCACAAGAGGTAGACTCGCCCCTCCTCTACTCATCTCACAAAGCTATGACTACACATTCTAGCTGATTTTATGTTTACTTTTAGTCTGTTTCTTTCTTTTTTGCTGTGACTAATTTTATCACTATGAAATCACTCCTTCTGAAATATTTGAACATTAACTTTCTAGAAATAGAGAGGGAAAGTTAATTTATATATAAATGTAAGAGACCATGGGATTACTCTAGTCTCACAAGCTATGATTACACATTCTATACTAATTTTGTATGTTTTTTTATGTGATTACTCTGGATTTGATCTTATGTTAACCTCTCTTTTTCTTTTTCTTTTGCTATGAAATTGTTCTTATGGATTTGCTTAACCTTACTTGGTCTCTAAACAAACAAGCTAAATGCGACCTTTTTATTATTATCAATCAACTGATTATGCGACAGTAGTAATAAATCTAACATCATCAAGAACAAAACGTAGATAGACAACAAAGAAACACCTTGGCTTTGTTCATAAATAACTATACAACATATTTTTTTTTTGTTAAGAAGTTTACTTCATTCATTTAACCGATCAAAGTACAAAGAGAGGTAATTAAACATCCTCCAGAATTACTACAACATAATTGAGAAGCAATAAAACATAAAGCAGATAGATCATCGCAAAGGATGGCCAGCGAATCCAAAGCATGCTTCGGATGCGTCAAAAAAGTCTTCGCGGCAAAGCCGAAAAGTCTCAGAGTAGTCACTTTACCATGTGACTTTGAAGTTCCCGGCATTAAGCACAAGAGTTCGACCAGAAGATACGACCATGCTCAAAGAGATGGAAGAAAGTGGAATTGAACTCTTCCACCGCGGGAGTAAATTACAGGATTTGAGAATCCAGAAAAATTTGATCTTCTCTCAACCGAGAAGCTATCGAGCTCGTGAATTACAGGATTTGAGAATTCAGAAAACTTTGGCCCTCTCAAACATTGAGATATGAATCCCGACAAATGATGAAATGAAGCATAGTGAATGCGAATTGGTCTCTCCAGACTCGATTTGGAGGCAAAGATTTTAATGAGCTCTGTAACAACTTGCCTAAATCGACAAGAAAAACGATATCATACACATCCAAAAATAAGATCGATGGAGAGTATGAATATGGTTCTGATAATAGTCCTAACAAGGTGTCATCCACATCCAAAATTAAGGTCGATGGAAAGTATGAGCACGGATGATAACTAATCCGGGGAGGTTGAAAACAACACCATCCCGAAGCGATTATAAAAGCCTTTGCTTTTGGTGGGATAGGGGGACAAGATCATGTTGGGCTAATAAGCCTACATATCAAATTGGTTCAGGCCCATATTGGGTTAATGTCGAAGGTTTGATGAGATTTTGGAAATCTCTTTGACGGTGTGTAGCCATGGCCAGGAGGGTGAACCACGGTGAGTGGTCTGGTCGGAGATGCATCAACGCGCCAAATCCACTACGAGGGGGTTGATAGGAAGTAGAAATTCCAAGCAGATTCGAGTCCCGTGCCGGAGCACATGCCTTGGCCGGCGAGATAGAGTTCCATTGGGACAAAGAAACCAACCTGAGTTCTCGGCGAGGACTGTGTCTAGGTGTAGCAGTTGACGGAGCAAGAGATGAAGCCGTCGACTGTGACTAGGGGGAGATAACGGTATTAGATTATGGAATTGGAATTGTAACAAACCGTATCCGGTTTGATTTGTTGTTTTACTTGGTTATTTTTCTGATGATGTAAACTGGTAACAAGCTCATGTATAAGAGCAAAAATGATTCATTGAATGAGATAACAGAAAATTTATTTCACAAATCTTATCTTCTTCTTCTCCGATTAAACTCTAATATGGTATCAGAGCATGAGATCGAAAAATCTCATTCAATCTTCCGTTTCCGTTCGATTTCCTTCTTCGTTGACCTAGATTGATCGTTGATTCTCCCGATCAATCGATTTTGTTACATGACTCATTACTAC